ACCCAATTTCTTGATTAATCTTAAAAACAAGAAACGAGCTTCAATGATAATTAAAAACATAAGCTTTACGAAAAAAATAAAAAAAAAAAAAAAAAAAACACTTTTTCGGGTGAATAGGTAGGAGATTTAGGGGATTGTGGTCTTTTATTATTAGATTTATCTAAACTTTTTCGTTCTTCTTTAGAACTTGAGGAAGATGGAATCTGAGGTACAGGTCTCGTGCCAGAATTTCTCCTAGAATAACCGGCCTTATGATTCACACTATCATATAAATGAGATACAGCGTACATATTGGGTTGATTTTTGAAATTATTGGACCATTGAGAGAGCAGTAACATTAAACTTTTGTGAACTCTCGGATCGGTAGCCTGATATATACATAATGATAAAAATCATATGAGATACCAACGTAAAAAAAATTTTTTTAATATAGATATTTATAGATACCGGAGAATTCGCCATAGATTTCAGCAGTTCAACAAACTTTGGAGTGGAAACGTGAACTTTGCATGATATACTAGTTTAGATTTTTACAACTATTTAACAATCTGAAAACGTATGATATAATCGGTGAAATACCTTGAAAATTTTCACCAAGATTATCAACCAATGCTTTTAAAATCTAAAAAATAAAAAAAAAAAAAATCGATTAACCAATTAACGTTACTGTTAGATCGAATAAAACGTAAAAATTTTTTAAAGAATAAAAATAGATAATATACAGTGAGACCACGAAGCTGAGAATGTGTATCACCATATTTAAAAACATGTCTCAAAGATTTACTAGCTTCTTTAGGTCTTTATATCCATAGAAATATAAAAATACTCAGCATAGAACTACGATAAAAATTTAGATGACCGAGAAATACTAAGTATCATACCCAGTCTCTTGCAATCTGATAGCTTCACACAATTGAAACATATCAGATAGATCATCTTCCTCATAACGATTCGACGTCATACGTTCTTGAATTATAAATGAATTTGATATGGAATAAATGCAATCAATTTGAGAGGAGAGAATTACAATAATTTGCATACCAATCCATGCGGATACCGCGGTTCTTTTAGTTTTATTGCTGAATATATTCATTTTTTTATAATTTCAAAAGTAAAATTAAAACCTTTCGATGAATTAAATAAGATCAAAGAAAAGTAAATTGATAAGATTAAGATTGACAAGTGATATGTTTGTCAGAAAAATTTTTGGTATGACATGAACCAAACTTAAACTGGTTGTCACACAGAACGGTAATCCAAAAATTAAAAATCTTTACTCAAATTAGTACCAAACACGGTAACTAAATAATTCTTTAAATTTTTGATATTTATAAAAAAAATATTCAACTTAATAAATATACACGAATCAAATTATGACATTCATTATCGTTATCTTGAATATTTTATTTCGAATTTAAGGAAGCTCATTAATGAAGTGTTACATAAATAAATTCCACATGACAATTGCATGACAAGTGCATAAATATTATGTAATAAAACAGGAATACTCGGTCGAATCTAGTCTTCTGATTCAAGATTATCACAGACCTTTCCATAATAGAGAAAATATCACCGAAAAATTCATTTATTAATATAAAAAGCAAGACAAACAAAAAAAGGTTTAACAAAAAGTTTTAGCAATTTAACGTCATCGATTGACATTGTAAGTCTTTTTATGTGAACGATTAATTAAATGGAACATCCAACTTAAGTATACGTATTTAGAGGACAGACCAAAGGATTCCAGAATTTAACGCTAAGAATATGCACTTAGATTTCAAAGTTAATATACACTTAAATTTGCTACATATTGATAAATGGTAATTTTAAAGTGGTACGCACGTAAATTATTTCCTTTATAAAGTTTTACCACGACTTAAAGCAGTATTCTAAAGGGTTATTTCAAACCAAAGACCTTAACGTTAAGAAAAATAAAGATTTAAAGAATAACAAAAAAAAAAACTGTAGTCTAAACTGTAGTCTAAACTGAAGTCTAAACTATAGCGACATATACAGTCGACTACCGATAT